AATAATGTGATTTATGATCAAGTTGATGGAGGTGGTATGGGATCAAAGCTTGCACCTGCTATGACTTAATAATGTGATTTATGATCAAGTTGATGGAGGTGTATGGGATCAAAGCTTGCACCTGCTATGACTTAATAATGTGATTTATGATCAAGTTGATGGAGGTAGTATGGGATCAAAGCTTGCACCTGCTATGACTACACTGTTCTTAAATCTTGAAAAACTGCTTTATTATAGATAGAATGTTGATGACCTATTTGCCAGCTTCAATCTAAAGTCATTTCAATGAATTTCTGCAGTACTTAAGCAAGTACTCAAATATAAAGTTTATAGTAGAATGTTAGTATAAATCTGGTGTAACTTTCTTGAATAATCTAAGACATTATAACCAAAATAGTATTAAAATTGGTTTATACGTAAATAAATATTGCAAACCAACTTGTATGAGGCTTTATCAAACTGTGATAGTTTTAATTCCTTCAGGATTGTAAACATTTATTTTTCTAAAGTTTGACGTACCAAAGAAACCAAAGATAATAGTATTACCATATGTAGGACAACAATCACACGATGTTAAAAATAAGTTTATTTTAAACTCGTGTGGCATTTTTTCATAGATATAAATATTGGGTGTATGTTTAAATTTTTGCAAAATTAGAAACATTTCATTTTAAGGATATTATCTCTGAGAAATAAATGGTTGTTGTCATATCAAAGTGCATTTGTACGAGCAGAATATAATATAATTTGTGCAGCAGAATATAAGCTCTGTCACTTGGTAGTTGTCTACTTGTATTAACAGAAAAATACGTATAAGACTCAAGGACTCGTCAAGTATTGCATAATATGTTTGTACAAAATGTAATGTTGCCATTGCAATACACACACATTTGTGATAACTATCAGAAGTGCTGAGGATGAGCAGTTATTACAGATTCAAGAAAGTCTGATGGTTTTAAGTAGAACCGATTGTATATCAGCAGAACTTAACAATACTGCTTCTACTCAAACTATCAACATCTTTATAGATATTAAAACATGTTTTGAATATTGTGGAGTTCCTAAGTCAATACATAAAATAATCTACTTTTTATAAAGTAGGCCAGTCATTGGTTGATTTCCTTTATATTTAGATAAAGAATGTATTAGTAAACGGTTAAATTTTTTAAGTGTTGTCTGTCGAAATGTGTGCATTACTTGTTTGTTTGCTAATATGTTTACTTTTTTTTTTCTGTAAAAAGTGATTCCTTAACTATCAAATCTCATAGTAAAGCTTTAAATATTCTAGGTAAAACCTTTTACATGTTTCACAATTTTTTCGTTACAGATTTATTATTGATTTTTTTTATCATGCTTTCTAAAATGACATTTTTTAAAATTCATCATGACTTCTTGTAGAACTGGCAGTAACCCAATTATACGGAGAAACAAAATTTGGGGAGGACAAAATGGTGGGGTTTTGGTGTATAATGGTGGCCTAGGGATCTTAGAACAGAATGAAATTTTTGATAATGCCATGGCTGGTGTATGGATTAAAACTGACAGCAATCCCACTCTCCGGAAAAATAAAATTTATGATGGCCGGGATGGTGGTGTTTGTATCTTTAATGGAGGTAAAGGTAAGTTCAAAGACTTAGTTGGAACTTTGTTGTCTCTAATAAAACTACACTTCAGACAAGTATAAAAGAAATTGTGTTCTTGTTCAAAATTAAGTTTTTTTTAGACTTTCCAATATTCCAACGAAACACTTCTTTACTAAGTTAATCAGATGATATTTAATGTGTAATTTAAAGTTATTTTTCCACATGTAGCTTTAGCCTAATTTTTAATATAAACCATTCATTTGGTGTAGGGTGTTAGGTTGAAAGGATATAAATCTATGACTGACTTCTGGTTATCCTGGTGTTTGATAGTAATGACTCAACATATTATATGTTAAGTGACTTGTGCAATTAAAAATGTTTTAAAAACATCCGGGAGAAAATAAGCATATTTCTTTTGCATCGTCCCATTTTTTGAAATCATAAGGTTTATATTAAATGTTTGCTACGTCAAAATACGTATGTAATAATATTTTAGTTGGATTGACTGAAATTTTATGTTACAGTGCTCATAACTCAATGAATTATTTAAATTTGTTTCCCTCTATTTTCCCACAAGGCATCCTTGAAGACAATGACATTTTCCGAAATGCCCAGGCTGGCGTGCTCATCAGCACTCAGAGTCATCCTGTGCTTAAAAGAAATCGAATTTTTGATGGTTTGGCAGCAGGTGTGGAAATTACCAACAATGCAACAGCCACTTTAGAATACAACCAGATTTTTAATAACAGATTTGGTGGCCTATGTTTGGCCAGTGGTGTGCAGCCTATTCTGAAAGGTAAGATTGTCATCTTCAATGTAGGAAAAAAGAAGAAAAATTTTTTTTTCCTTTATATTTTATACAGAGTTATTCAAAACACGTAGCATTTATGGGAGTGTATAGAAAAAGGTAAACTGTACCATCATTAGTGCTTCGTGTATTTCCCACCAAATACAAAGATCTATATCTGTGCTTTGCAGTTAGTGGGCAGCATGGAACAGTTGTGGTGTTATAATTCATCACTTTTAGGTACTCCAATATATGAATAACTGTATTTAGTTGTGTGCTATTGATATAAAGGCCAATATGATATGAAGATCTGATATATTAAATCAGCCAGGTGGTTAGGGAGCTCCACTCGCAATCTGCGAGTTCGAATCCCCGATCAACCAAACATGCTCGCCCATTCAGCTGTGGGGGCATTATAATGTGATGGTCAATCCCACTATTCGTTGGTAAAAGAGTAGCCCATGAGTTGGCGGTGGGTGGTGATGACTAGCTGCCTTCCCTCTAGTCTTTCACTGCTAAATTAGGAACGGCTAGCGCAGATAGCCCTCATGTAGCTTTGCGAGAAAATTCAAAAAACACAAAAAAAAAATAGAATATTAAATCATGGTCTCAAGGTATATGCAAGAAAGAGAGTCCTTGCTCAAAAATTAGTTGTTTTTTGTTTGCCAATGCTCTAACAATATGTATTTCATATTTTCATCATTTTAATATGAAGTTAATTGGTTCAGAATAGTGGTTTTCATTTTACAGTTTATACAAGTGTGTGCGTAGTTTAGCTTCTATGGTAAAAATTCATTATATGTATTATAAGTATAACATTCAGAACAGGTACCTTTGGACATCAATGCTTTAATGCAAAAAGCTTAGTAATGGAAATATGTACATTATTGTAAAGAAGCATATTTGTTAAAGCAGCAAACCTTACAAGAATCTTTTTCACCCAAAGGTCATTGAAAAAAACATTTATGTGTTTAAAGACGTTAATAAATATTAATAGCGTTTTCATGGTAGTCTATTTTAACTTTTTTCTTTCTTTTTTTTTATAGGAAACAAGATTTTTGACAACCATAACGCTGTAGAGAAGGCAGTCACTGGTGGTCAGTGCTTGTATAAGATCTCCAGCTATACTAGTTTTCCTATGCATGACTTCTACAGGTTTGTAGAACTTCTCTTTTAATATAAACTCAAGAAATAATCATGTCTGTCTTGTTGTTTTTTTTAAGACTTCCCACTGTTCTAACAGTATGTATTTCATATTTTCATCGGATATTTGAATACTGAATTATTTGCTTCAAAATAGTGATTTTCATTTGACAATTTGTACAAGTATGTGTGTAATACAAAAAGTTTTGCTTCTATCATAAAATAACTGAGAACAAAATAAGGACTAAAACAAGAGGGAATCCTCAAGAGCCACTGCACTTGAAATTCTTTTAGGCAGGAGTAGAGTAAATTAATCTACGAGACCATGGACATGGCCAAATGCATCAATTGAAAGAGTTTCACCTCCTGAGCTCAAAACTGTAATTAAATCTCAAATCGGTCAAGAGATGACGGAGCTATGAGCTAAAAGTTTGTGCTTGAAAAAAATCTTGGAGCCATTCTATGAACCGCTTTGCTGCAGCTAAAAATATGTATGAAAATAAAAAATATATTTTTACACTAGAATGGCATATTGTTAGTCTAAAGAATTAAAAATTTATTGGGTATCTGTTTTTAAATGTTGTTAGATTAATGAGAATTATAATTTAAAATCTTTATATTAAATCACTGAATAGCTAAGTACACTTGGATAGACGACAGAATAAGTTGACACTTAATAAGTTGAAAACTTGCAATGGAATTCGGCTTAAAAACCTAATTGCACTGTAATATGGTCTTGATGTAGGATGTCTGCTCGAAACATCGCACAAAATAAACTAGAAAAAGTTTTAATTTATGCGTGTTAATTTATTCTTTATTATAGTTTCTCCAACTTTTTTCTTTTCATGTTTTGTAGAACAACACTCGTTCAAGAGTTAAGTACACTGTACCATGTATTTCAGCAATTCTTGTATTGTTTTCAGTAGTTCAAAGAAACCCCATCAGTCGGTGTGCTTTTTCTTTTTTAATTGAAACATGTTTTAATTTATACTTTCGTTTAGATGTCGTACCTGCAATACCACAGAAAGAAATGCCATCTGTGTGAATTGTATAAAAACTTGTCATGCCAGGCATGACGTGGAATTCATTCGACATGATAGGTACAAGCTTTTTCTTTTTT